CTCTTTCTCCGTCGATTAGTTTCGTCGGCCATGGATTGCTCGTAAAATCGGCACCTAGAACTATGTAATCTTTATTCTATATTTCGCCTCTTTGTCTAGAGTCTACACTAAGGTAGTCAACTTCAATAACAAAGGAATATGGAGGAGTATGGTTCGAAAATTGCGGTTGGATTTGGCGAAGGAAACTGAAGGTGAAGGGGTTGAGAATCACAGAGGTTTCTTTCGTAACCCCTTGCACCATCGCTGCCCTTTTACTTTTTTACCCCCTTGCGTGCATATTAACTCTATTTACCGTATTGCTTATATATATATATATATATATATATATATATATATATATATATATATATATATATATAAAATTCAGTTCCCGTGCGATTGGGTGTGTTCCGTGCGTTTGTACAGTTAAATTCAAACTATTGATCTTGCCTAAATCAACGTCCATGATTAACAATGATTAAAAAAATGCGGTGGCAATTTGATATTTTGCATCTAGGTCAAACTTAAGGTGCGTGGTTTTTGTACTATGTGGCTTAAGGTGTGTCAGTTGTTGAAAACATAACTGTTTCGATCTAAAGCTTTAGGTGTGTAGTTTTCCTACTAAAGGTGCGCAGTTTTCCTTCTTATGGTCCGTGGTTTGTATGCTTAAGGTGAGTCAGTTGTTGAAACTTAATGTGCATCAGCTTAAAGCTTTAGGTGCGTGATTTTTATTTTTAAGGTGCGTTATTTTCCTTCTTAAGGTGCGTGATTTGTATGCTTAAGGTGCATCAGTTGTTGAAACTTAAGTGTGCCATTTTATAACATTAAGTGTGTGGTTTGTGTTCTTAAGGTCCTTTGTTTGTGTACTTAAGGTACAACATTTTAATGCTTAAGGTTAGGTGCGTCAATTTTATACTTAAGGTACGTCTTTTTGTATTACCCGTACAATCGCACAAGAAGTTATTTTTGCACCTTATCCTTACTATATATATATATATATATATATATATATATATATATATATATATATATATATATATATATATATATATATATATATATATATATATATATAGAGAGAGAGAGAGAGAGAGAGAGTCGCGTTCTGGTGCGAATGGTTGCCTAGGAGCAAATATGTGAACCAATTAGCACGCGCCACGTGTCTAGATCTAGGTGCACATAGTTATTACTATATGTGCACCTAGGTGAAAGTAGGTGCACCTGATCAATGAATGTTAAGAAGGTAAAATTACAAGCACTTGTAGGTAAAAGTAGGTGCACTTGTAGGTGAAAGTAGAAACAAAATTACATGCACTTGTAGGTGAAAGTAGGGGCACCCGATCAATGAATGTTGACACGTGACGCGCAATGATTGGTTCGCATTTCGCACCTGGGCGGCCATTCGCACGAGATCGCGCCCCTATATATATATATATATATATATATATATATATATATATATATATATATATATATATATATATATATATATATATATATATATATATATATATAGTTGAGTTCACATGAGGACCACAATATATAGAGGACTGTGCGGACTAATTACAAACACAAGATAAATTAGTATCAAGCACACAACTTAATACACAATGCCACACAAGAATTCATGTAAACATCAGGTTTCGAACCCAGACTCTATTAATTAATAAACCTATGCACACGACTACATTTGTCCATGCACACGACATACAAACTAATGGCACACGACTACATCAATTCTCACGATCCTCTATAATATAGTGGTCCTCATTTGAACTCAACTATATATATATATATATATATATATATATATATATATATATATATATATATATATATATACTAAAGCCAAAAGAAGTTAGGCTTATAATGAGTAGAAAAAATGTCCGTCAAATTATTAAATTAAATGAATGGTTCAGATTTTGATTTTTCCTTGAGATTTCCAAATTTATCCTTAATTATATGATTTCAATAAGAAATGTCTTAGGTGACAACCTCATCCCAATCAAAGTTAACATAATTAGTACTCTATTTTACTCTTATTAAATTAAAAATAATTTAGTAGCTACAATAAAAAAAAATACATATGCATTTCTTTAATTTAGAATAGTTTAGTAGCGGGTTCGACCAGTGAATTATATCAACGCTTGGTAAAAAGATATTTACAAAAATTAGCTGTTTAGATTAACATATAATAATAATAATAATAATAATAATAATAATAATAATAATAATAATAATAATAATAATAATAATAATAATAATAATAATAATCTTAATCTTAACTATAATAAAGCTATATGGTTTGGGAAGTAATTAATATTACAATTAATGCCACAACATTCTTTATTATTAAAAAAAAAAAACACACACAACATTTGAAAAATAAAATAGCTATATATTATATAATCATATAAAAATGTACTTTTGAAAAATAAAATAGCTATATATTATATAATCATATAAAAAATGTGTTCAATTAGAGTTTAAATTTACTCATACAAAATTTAAAATTTGCTTTCCAAATGTAATAATCTTAGTTATTATTCGTATTGTGAAAATTATAATATAGATGAAATACAATTAAGAATAAATCAATGTAATTATGTAAATTCTCTCTATAAGTTTATTTGAATATACACATAATTAGAGATTATATTAACCATATAAAATTTTAATTTTAATTTTAATTGTAATTTTGTATTCTATAAAAATAATAAATACTTGACCAATAGAAGCTCAAAAATATTATTATATTAAACAATTTAAAATATTTTAGTTTTTCTATTTTTTATATATTTATATTTATAATAACATAATTTTTTTCCTTGCATCGCGCGGGTGAATAATAATAATAATAATAATAATAATAATAATAATAATAATAATAATAATTTAATAAAAGAAATAAAATTAAAAAAATAAAAATAAAATAAATATATGGGAAACCGAACATTCAGCTCTTCTTAGTTTTGTCACTTTTCTCACATCGGTGGGAAAAGTGGCATGGGAGCCTTGAGGCTCCTATAAAAGAAGCTTCAAGGTTCCAATTAAAAATAATTAAGCTTGCCCATTCGTTGATGGGCAAGCAGTGAGCCAGCTAAACTCGCTCTTGTTATCCAAAGAGTCTAAACGACTCTACAGTAAATTTTTTTTTTTTTTAATACTGTGGTGTTTTGGGAAAATCATTTTTCAAAGTGCTAAGTGAAAATATTGTAAATTGTAGTGTTTGTATTTTCAGTGATTTGGAACAAATTGTTGCTCCAAACTATTGAATAACCAAACACTTTAGCATTTTGATCTTTGGGTTATATCATATTTACCAACCGTCCAATATCTTTGGGTTACATTATCTTTGGATATCTTTGGGTTGAACTAAATGACCACCGAGCAAAACACCTAAAGGACTTTGAATTGGGTTGAACTAAATGACAACTGAGCAAAACACCTAAAAGACTGAAAAGGACTAGTACCATTGAATCATTAATTGATCTTGTATGTGTATTCATTAAATATATTAGAACCATTTGTAACAAAATACTTGGTTACTATCTAAAAAAAAGTTTAGTGACAATTATAATGAATCTCATATATTATCTTGTATTCATAATTTCATATACTATGAATTACATATTTAAATAAACAAATTCGACATTAAATTACTTATGTTAACTTCTCAAATATTTATTTAATTATAAATATTAGGCATTAACTCATTCACGCAATGCGTGTATAAAACTAGTATATAAATAAAGTTCAGTGTCTGCTTTGCCCTTGTAATTTTTTTTATGACATCTAGGGGGCTTTTGGTTCAAGGGATCTGAGATTACCTTGGTACTCTGAAAAAGGTAATGTTAGATTACCATATTTGATTTAGGTAATTTGAGATCGGAGGTAATCTGATTACCAAGTTTTGTTTAGATAATCTGAGATTACTTTTCAATATTTCAAAATTGTGCTCAATTATACATGACGGACGGTACATTGCGCAAAGGATTCCACCAGCTGCATTCCCTGCGAAACTCCATATCCTCATTTTGCATCTTTACAATACTTGTGCGCATTCCTTTTTTTTATTATTATTATTATTATTATTATTATTATTAGTGGTGGTAGTAATAGAAACATCTTGTTAAATTTTGAATTATGAAAAAAAAAACTTATAATTTACACATTTCAATTTCATAAGAGAGCATTTAAGTAATTGATGTAATATAACCTAAAATATAACCTTCAACCAAACAAGTTAATATTACATTTTTACAACTTTAACTAAACACATAAGGTAATGTTACATTCTCAAAATCTCATATTACATTCACAGAGATAATCTTATTACCCGAGATAATTCAAGATTCCGTGAACCAAACGCCCCCCTACGAGAATCACATTATCTTCCATTATTATCCGAGATAATTCAAGATTCCGTGAACCAAACGCCCCCCTACGAGAATCACATTATCTTCCATTTTCGAATTGCATAAAAACATTCATTGAACGAAATGTTTCTTACAGCACGTTTGGTTCACGGAATGAATTTTGAGGTAATAGTGGTGCTGGTGTTGGTGTTGGTGTTGGTGGGGTGGTGGTGGTGGTGGTGGTGGCGGTGGTAGTGGCGGTGGCAGCAATGGTGGCGGCGGTGGTGGTGGTAGTGGCGGTGGTGGCAGTGCTGGTGGTGGTGTTGGTGGGGTGGTGGTGCTGGTGGCGGCGGCAATGCTGGTAGCAATGATGGTGGTGGTGGCGGCGGCGGTGCTGGTGGTGGTGGGGTGCTGGTGGCGGTGGGGGTGCTGGTGACGGGGGTAAAATAGGAAGTAGAAATTTTAGGCTATTCCTGAGGACTCAGTAATAGCCTAATACCAAGGGGGGCCTGGTAATAGCTATTACCTTATCTGGAGGAATAGGGTATTACCGAAAATATTATTCCCGGTAATAGAAACGGTTACCAAACACATGAGTAGATCTATTACTGAGAATGCTATGCCATTCCCAGCCTATTCCGTGAACTAAACGGGCCATTAATGTCTTGGGAACATAGAGATTGGAAATATTTAGAAGAAACGTATAAACCTCCAAAAACTTGGAGTTGCCTTTCCAATTTCAATCAAAACTATTGTCTGCAAATTCCAACAGATCTCTCTCTCTTCTCTTCGCTGTTACAGCTCGCTGTCACTTTCTTTGCCCCATCACAATTCACGCACATATATATATAGCACTGCATCTGTAAGATATTCTATATCGGTAGCAGGGAGATAGAGACAATATGATTGGCGGAGGGAGGAAGAACGCCGGCGGTCGAGCAGTGTCGCCATTTCTGCTGGTACTTATTTCACTGGGATTCTTCTTCGCCACTTACAATTTAGTCACGCTCCTCATCCACCAACGACGTACCGCCGCCGGCGCCGGCGCTGCAGCAGGTGCTTCCGACTTGTCTACCAGATGGCGGCTCGGCGATAATCCGAAATTCCACGTCGCTCTCACTGCCACCGATGCTCCCTACAGCAAGTGGCAATGCCGGATCATGTACTATTGGTACAAGAAGATGAAGGAGTCGCCTGGATCAGATATGGGCGGTTTCACCCGCGTATTGCATTCGGGCCGCCCCGATAACCTCATGGAAGAGATCCCTACTTTCGTCGTCGATCCGCTTCCCGAGGGCATCGATCGGGTGAGAATTAAATGCAATTTAATCAGTTCTACTTTATGAATAATGCAGTATATACGAGAATCACAGTATTTTAATCAGTTCTACTAAGTGCTTACATTGTTCTTGTTTTTAAACAATGATGACTATACTGCTAGTAAATTATGCTATGCTGGATTCATTATAAAAATGCTTGTTTGTGTCATGGTCAACACTGTACAGTTTTCTTTAAAAACTATTTGTTCACTAATCACTATCCCAACAATAATGTTGCATGTTAAAATCCATGAGAATTACAACATGGCTTGAGACTCATTCTTTCATCAATGACAAGTAGGAAATGCACAAGCATTGCTATCTATATTCATGCCAAGACAGAATTTGATGTTGTGGGAGTGGGGGGGATGTGTTTGGGGATGAAGTAAGGAAATGAATGTCACTTCAAGGAAGTTGCTTTTATGCAGTCCAGATAGAATTCATTGATTTCCAAGATTTCATGTTGCAAACTTGCAATTTGCATCATGCAGGAGTGTCAGGCCCTTATTATTTTCTGTGAATTGCTTGTTCTATTCTACATCTCTGTTACCCTGGATATTGCCACAAAAACTTATTTCAATAGCAATCAAGACATGTGTGTTCCTTCTTAGGTGTGGTTGGTTGACAGATTTAGCTCTTAAGGAATGAGTATCAAAGTGATTGATATTGTTTGGTTGATAGGTTTTTAGAACACTACTATGGGTTTCAAATACCTCCTTAATTGAAAAACTCTACCCAAATAAAATAAGGGTATCATCCCCTTTCATTCCCTTATTCCTTCTCATCCCCTACCAAGTATTTGATACCCATTCCGATTCCAATTACCATGTGCGAACCAAACACACCCTTATTCTTTTCCTTTTCTTATCTTTTGGCATCTTGAACACCTGTAAGTTTTGAGTGAAGAAATATGTGTTTGGTTTCTTCTTAAGTTCTAGTTGGTTCTGGCTTCCTATTTACTTGAAGACATCTTTAAGTTTGAATTCTTTTCTTGCTCTAAGTAGCAATACTTCCCTTAGGTTTGTTTACACAATTGAATGTTTTGTGCAGGGTTACATTGTCCTGAACCGACCATGGGCTTTTGTTCAGTGGCTGGAGAAAGCTGTGATTGAGGAAGAGTATGTCACTTGTGCTCTGAACTGCAAAATTATTTTTATCTCACATGTTTGATCTTAATGGTAGTACATGCTGACTGATGCAGATACATTCTAATGGCAGAACCTGATCACATATTTGTGAATCCTTTGCCGAATTTGGCTGTTGAAGGGCAGGCGGTTGCATTCCCTTTTTTCTACATCAAACCTGTAGAGAATGAGAAAATCATAAGAAAATATTATCCAGTGGAGAAGGGCCCTATAACTAATGTTGATCCTATTGGCAATTCTCCAGCAATAATCAAGAAGGTAAGGCTACTCATCAAAAGAACATGGAATAATATGTGAAGGCCACAACATGGTATCTAAAATTACTATATGCAGTGATTTACTAAATACTCAGAAGATTATAAAAAGATAAACATCCCCAGTGCAGACTTGCAAGGGAAGGAGCTGACTCTTGCAAGAGCAATAATTTTAATCCAAATATTATGCAGGCAAAGCTAATTCACCGTTTTATGAACCTTTGATCTTCAGGCTGTGGCTTTACTGATTTCGTAGACTATGAAATACATTTTATGACTCATTATTATGTGCATTGTTATCTTAGTCATTTGTTCCAAATTTATGTTATTTCCTTCCATAATCTGCTGGCCTCTCGGATTGCTGCAGTCAACTCTGGAGAAAATTGCTCCAACATGGATGAATGTTTCTTTGAGGATGAAAGATGATACTGAAACTGACAAGGCTTTTGGTTGGGTTCTAGAAATGTGCGCTATATTCATACTCGGGTTTTTTCCACTATTAAATGCCAACTTATCCTGGCAGCTTTTTTATTTGGCTGTAATTTGTCTGTTTCTCAGGTATGCTTATGCGGTGGCATCCGCTTTGCATGGCGTGAGGCATACTCTCCATAAAGACTTCATGCTACAGGTTTTTGAAGAATAACAACATTTTCCTTTTATTGTTATCCTCAATCATTTGCTTACTGAAAAAAAATTGATATATATATTTCAGCCTCCCTGGGACCTTGAAGTCGGCAAAAAATTCATCATTCACTATACATATGGTTGTGATTACAATATGAAGGTAACAGAGTTTTGATTATCCTCATGATACTACCTGTTCCATCATCTGTTCAGCTTGCGTTCACTTAGCTTGATGGAATAAATATACATGTCCTTCTAACAGTTTTTCTCACCTGGGTCATTTTATTCGTGGCGATGATTTAACAGGGACAATTGACATATGGAAAGATTGGAGAATGGAGGTTTGATAAAAGATCTCATCTCCAAGGTCCTATACCAAGGAACCACCCTTTGCCTCCTCCAGGGGTTCCTGAAAGCGTGGTATGTAAACCCTTCTTCTTCTTGTTCACCACCCAGAATATGTTTAGAGAACCATGGAACTGAACAAAATTAACCCGAAAGCTGCATAATTGAAATCCAGTACGTTTTATTGACACTTAAAAAATTAAGTAACTTGCATTGCCATATCACGCTCACCCAATAAAAAATAAATAAATGTCCTTTAGCTTTATCTGTTGTAAAAGCATAGTGGCAGTGGTAGTGGATATTTTTCATTGAGACTATCTATCGTCTAGACCTTTCATGATGATGATCCTCAAATACTGCCTAAATTACTTTGTGCTCTCTCTCTCAAAATATTTCTGTTAGAAAGAGAGCATTAAAAATAAAAAGTTGGAGGAGCCTAAAGAATAGAATCCTTCCTTTTGAGTTTAAAGCTAGAATTATATCACACCTACCTAGATATATGCTGACCTCCTCTTGTCACGAGGGTATGGCATTATGATGGGTAGTTGGGAGTTGGGAGATGAATGAATCCTGCAGCATTATTTGAAGTCCAGCGATGTTTGAAACATGCAAACACCCACCCACCCCACTTGGAAACAAGAAAAGGAGACATTGTCTCAAGAGCACTGTTAAACAAACATGCATGATGTTGATTGTTGCAGGTGAGGCTAGTGAAGATGGTGAATGAAGCAACTTCAAACATTCCTGGATGGGATAGTGACTAAGAATGCATGCCTCCTCTTAACTGTGAGAACTGTTCACTACCTGTCTGTACACGTTTCCACGCCGCCTGGTTAAGTCTTCAGGCATTCATTGGTCTGTATCTGCATCTACTGTGAGTGTGGAAGGGTGGGGGGTGGTACATGAAGTTAACATAAATCTATGAAAAATATATTGGTTTTTCCAGAATAGTATAATCTTCATTTTACACATTTCACTTGCCTCTTCTTTTTTTTTTTTTTATCTAGTCCAATACCAAAAGCACTTTTTTTTTTTTTTTTTTTTTTTTTTTTTTTTTTTTTTTTGTAGAGATCTTGTTTATGTTCGAATTTGATTTCATTGTAATCAAATAGCAGTTTTGATGTCATGGTGGTGATCATAGCTCTTCAATTTTGTATTGCTTTCGCAACATAATACTTACCTAATTTTACGGGAGTTTGCCAAAGGTTTCATTTTGATGCCCAACTATGAAGTACATTTTCTGTTCTTTATAAAAATTGATACCTAATGTGTTTCAAGAAAGTAACATTTTGATAACTGAAATTTCATAACTAAATTCTAAATCAGTTTTTGTGTCCGATTTGGATTCATTTGCTGATTCCAAATCCAACTAGAATAGAAGAATTCCGAATTAGCTCAAGTTTGTTTTGTTTTATTTTTAAAATTTTAATTAATTGGAAAAATATTTATATTACAAGTTTATTTATTAATATAATAAATTATGGAAATCATCATTCATCCCAAAAGCTTTTTAAATTTTGAAAGCTCAATTGCATTTCTACAAAAAGTTGTTAGACTATAATTTATCCATTTAACTATTAAAATTATTCGACGAATAAATAAGCTATACACACCCCAACCAAAAAAATTAAATTAAATAAAAAATAAAATTATTTTCTATAATTTTCTATCTACCAATTTTCTATACTGGTGTCCTGGTCCTGATTCTAGCAGGTAAATCATAAATTATATAAGCAAGGATTTGGGGGGAGTAATTAAGGATTGATTATCCAAAAAGGGGCCATTACTGTTAAACAATAATTAAAATGATGCTTGAAAAATCTTAGTTAAGACGGACGGATGATTAGAGGCCAGAAAATATTTACTGGTTTAAAACAAAAAAAAAAAATCTAATACAACAATCTGGGCCTCAGCAAACAAAATATCCTCAGCGACTCCCCTTTGTAACTGAGTCAGAAGGTCTTTTCTACTGTATCTCCTAATTTTACTCTGTTTTCTTGTTTTCTATAGCTTCTTCGCCTTCTTCGGCAACTTTTTTCGACTCATCAAACTCCAGCAACTGCACAAACAAAATCACCCCAAACAGTTTTGAGCTCAAGTAACCAAACAAGACTTAAGAAAGGATCAAAATGCATCATAATCTCTTTCTAATTTCCATAAAAATCTTACCCCATAAAAAAGAAGTGCATGTTAGTGTATATGGGTTGGGGGAGAAAGCGAGAAAGAATTAAGTTCACAAAAGTTTTTACTTTTTTCTTTTCCAGTTTATCTGGCGGGTGTCAAAAGATAGGGGAGATGGGATTTGAATATGGGCATAACAGCAGGGCTAAGGGCTTAGTCGACCACCAGGCTAAACCCTCCCTCAATGGAAGTGAGGTACCAAAATGATAGAAAGCAAAAAGTAATATAGAAAGAAAAGATGGATATACACGTACAGGTTTAACATCCCCGTTCCAAAGGCAATGAACAGCCAAAAATCCAATAACAGCTGGAACAATGTATAACAGTGCTGGCTGTAAAAAGAATAAAAGTGGAAGTCAACCAATTAGAGACTTAAGAAGTTAGAAAAGGTTAGAAGCATTATTGCATGTCTATTAACACGGGAATGTGGAACTGTAAAGGCTCTTTTTGAACACTCACCTGTGCAGCTTGGAACCAGTTCATGACAAAGATGGTCAGACCCAAACCGACTGTGTACCCAACAAATGAGCTTGTGAAGTACTGGCTCCGCTTCCCTCTAGAGACATCAAATCGGAGTGCCAATGCCACAAAAATTCCTGCATAGTAGGAGCAATGAACAAAAGAATTGTGAATAGGCTCAAAACTATTGCAGCAAATGAACTCATTGCAAAACAAAGCTACAACTGTATTCATCTGCTGCATAAAAATGACAAACAAAGACTAAAGGAAGCGCAGTGATGAGATGACTTGGAAATCTACTAGTAAAAATGGTTTTACGAAAATTTATGGAATGGCTTTATTGCAATCTGACAAACGAGAAATTATAGATGAATGAAAGCTTCAAGCTTCCACAGTAGAATGGAGGTTATACCAGGTATTACAATATCCCCAAGGCCGAGCATTGAAAATGGACGTTGAGAATCTGCTGTTGGGAACAAAAGCTGCATGATTTGAAACATCAAACAGTTAGCACATTTGTATTGAACACATCACAATAATCAACTAGAAGTAGGTAAAAACAATAAATATTACAAACCTTTATGGGAGCATCAAATGACTTTGCAACACTAACCATCACCGGGGTAAAAAAGACCCAGAAAATATCATATATAAATAGTCCCGCCTGCAATTAGGAAGCATGACAAAACATCAGGTCAGTCGCAACTGCATAGCCTAGAATCCAAAATAAAGCAAAGCAATTATGGAACCAGATAGTTCACTTAATGGTGGGGGGGGGGGGGGGGGGGGGTGTAAAAACTGACACCTTAAAAAAATGTACAGCTCAAAATTACATGATCCTAAAGATAGAATTCAAGATTAATTCTCACCAAAAGAATGGCACCAGTCTTAAATGAGCCAAGTGAAAGCATTTCTATTCCCTGAAAACAAAATAGAAAAAGAAAACACATCAAGCAAATAAGCTAGTCAAAAAATATAATGATGGAAAAGAAAAGGCTACGGCAGAGGATTGTTATTTATCCATTGAAGGGTGCCACAATCACACTTTGAAAGCTAAGATATCAATATCATAGATCCACACCATTGACATCTAGACATGTAAACTTCTTCAGATAGACAACTAGATCAACCATGAGGTCATCCGAATATTAGAGTACAGACAAACATGCAAAGTTACTTTATTGCCGGACATACATAAAACTAAAAAGGAGATAGATATTTTTTCATCAGGTAATTTACAAAAACATCCTACTCCAGTGGATGCATAGATAATACTCTATGAAGTATACAGACCAACCAAATGGCACTTCAGATGCACACTAACCAACCTGGATGCAGAATGCAAGCCCCAAAATGTTGTTTGCTAGCCAATGCTTTTGCTTTGCATACCATGCACAGAAAATGGTTCCAGGAATTGCAGCGACAATCTGAGATCTCGTCAACTCTACATCTAAAGCTGCAAAAGAAAAGCAAAAAAATAAAAATAAAATCATGTTGCAAAAATGTCAGCAACAATCTGAGATCTCTGTCAACTCTACATCTAAAAGCTTCAAAGGAAAAAAAAAAATAAAAATAAAAAAATCATGTTGATAATGTCAAACAGATCAAAAGAAATTTATGGATGTAGCATTTCAGGGGGGTGTTAACCAAACTAGGTTGGGTTTGATATATAATGATGTCATGAAGACAGGATCAAAAGTGTCATTGACAATTTTGAACTATCGAACTCATGATTCATGAGATCATCACTGAAGATAAAACAAGCACAATCTAAAGTTGGAAACACATTTGACTATAGAAGCAAGTATCACCACACAGAAAGCTCCAATATCTCATCTCTCCCTCCAACTTAACAATCTTTAAACAGAACCCAAAAAAACACCACTCTTCAATAGAACAATATCATATTTAACAACTATATTTCATGTGTCTCTTTTATAGCCAATCCATGTCAATAACCACAAATGAGGCATTAGCCTTCATTTGTAGCAACAATTCCTTTGTTCTATTTAGAATTTGCTCTATTCTTTTCCCTCAAACTTCTCCACATCTCTTCTATGCACTATTAAAGTGGAAAGCCAGTAAAAGTGATTTACTTTGATGTCAGTGGAAACCACAATATCCAAATCAAACTGTAGAGCTTGCAATGAGGTTTGCAAGTAGGAAAAATCTTTAAAGCTACAGATCATAAAGAAAATTTCTGATTTACAAATAAAATTAGGAAGAAAGTTTGAATTATATTTACCATCTTATAGAAAGAGAAATGTGTACATTCATATACATATCAAAGAAATATTATGTAAGCCTACATCAAAGATGAAGTAGGCTTGTTTCTTTGGACTTCACATGCCTGCAAATCAGCAACTAAGAAATTTTGGCATTACTTTGTAGGCTGGCATATGTATCAAATGCGGGATTGTAACAATAGATTCCCCAGAAAAGTGACACCCCTTAGCTTCAGCCTACACTAGCATATACAGTGTTTTAATTGACAAGTAGTTAAGCTACCACAGAAGGCAGGATAAATCAGCAGTGGTGTTTAAAATAAGCAGCCAGTAAGGCTGTATGAAATATGTTCCATTAAGAAAACTACCTGGACATCAAAGAAGAATACAAGATCCTAAGTCTATAAGACAGCTAAACTTTTCAGAAAGAATATAAGCTTAACCACAAGAAATCTTACAGCGAACATATGGAAAACGCCATACAATGGGATCTTCATTCCACTTTGTTGGCAAGAAACGCTTAATTGCAGGTAACAATGTTGCTCTGCAGAGTGCAAAAGACAAGAATTGTGTTTGATATTATTCATGTCAATAAAATGAAATATTAAGCATTAGTAAATTGATCCATACTAAAAGAACATACGAAAGGGCTGCGATGCCGAGTACAAAGAAGTAACATGTCAGGACAGCATTAACCAGGTCTTTAGACAGGAACTTAAAAAGCAAGAACAATGACAACAACATTGCACTTCCAACTAAGGGAAATCGCATGGCATGTTCATTAGACATTGTCTCCTGCAAATAAAAATAGCAAATGTTTAGGCATCATCATCATCATCATTTATAAAGCTATCGTAAATCTTAGTTTAAAAATAATAATTAATTAATTTTTTTTTTTAAACAAAGGCCACAACATGGGGGCCAGCCAAACATACCGAAGGTGGAGTTGGTTTAACAGATCGGTAGCATCCAACATAAACTGTGAGGCAGGCTGTCAAAATGACATTCAGATTTGGATCTATCTTTACCACAAGTGGAGCCAAAGTTAAACCTGAAACAGATCCAGAAATCAGTGAAAGCATAATGATCATAACTAGCTTTCTATTATTAGCACAAATAATGATTATACCATCAAGTTGACATCTGGTATTCTGGCCTAAAAGTTTTAAAATAACTAACTTGGAAATTTTTTCCTGATTGACTGAACATGCATTCACTATTACAAGCTTCCATGGCCTCTTTGAAAAGGAGAAAAAAAATCCAGAATTGTATATGCATACACTTGTTCATTATTTTTAAAGCAAAGCAAAAGGCCTTGCACTTCACTCTAAAATATTAATTTCC